TTTTTCATAAGTAGATTCCACTCATGGTGCCCTGTGTGTGTCAGAGTAGAACTGTGCTCCACAGGGTTCTCAGTGGATGATGTTTCATAAGTAGATCCCACTCATGGTGTCCTGTGTGTGTGTCAGAGTAGAACTGTGCCCCACAGGGTTCTCAGTGGATGATGTTTCATAAGTAGAGTCCACTCATGGTGCCCCGTGTGTGTCAAAGTAGAACTGTGCCCCACAGGGTTCTCAGTGGATGATATTTCATAAGTAGATCCCACTCATGGTGTCCCATGTGTGTCAGAGTAGAACTGTGCCCACAGGGTTCTCAGTGGGTGAGTTTTCATAAGTAGATCCCACTCATGGTGCCCCGTGTGTGTCAGAGTAGAACTGTGCCCACAGGGTTCTCAGTGGATGATGTTTTCATAAGTAGATCCCACTCATGATGCCCTGTGGATGATTTTTCATAAGTAGATCCCACTCATGGTGTCCTCGTGTGTGTCAGAGTAGAACTGTGCTCCACAGGGTTGTTTTTTATTTGTTTTATAACTCTTCAATAAAGAAAAATACATTTTTTTCTTAAACTGTGAAATTCAGTACTAGAAAGTATGCTTTGCTGCAATAGTAAAGCAGTTCTTAATTGAATTTTAGAAGAGAAATGTCTTCTTGTAAGCTGGTTAGTTGACTTTGAAATGTATCTGTGAAAACCAAGTACAGGAAAACATAAAGCTTGTCTTCCTCCAAAGAATTATGAGGGGAGGCAAGTTATCCCTTTGGATATTAAACTATAATGAAGTGGGAAATTTTACATAAAATAAAACAAACAAATGATAGTAATTTGACCAATTTACACTAACATTAAGAAGAAATAAATGATAAACTATCTACATATAAATATATAACCTCGTGCCAATTTTAAAAACATATGAACACACGCACAGGGCAATTAGAAAGGAATAATATTTATTGCTTTTCCAATATTGTACCATCTTTGTTTGCACCCTTGGTATGACTCTTACCTGATGGTGATGTATTATTCTTTTATGTTGTTGTTACATGCTGTCAAGTTGGTTCTGACCCAATGTGACCCTGTAGAAGAGCCACTGATGAGCTTGCACCGCTGACCTTGTAGTTCAAACCAATCTTGTGGTCCAGTGTACTGACCCACAACATCTATATTTATGAGGGATATTGGTCTGGGTTTTGTGGATGTTGTTAGTGATGTTTTTTGCCTGCCCTTAGAGGGTTTTCCCAGGGTTATTCAGGCTTCATAGAACAGAGTAGGGAGTTTTTCTTCCTGTTCTATGGTCTAGAACCATTTCAGTAAAATTCAGAGAAGTGTCAACTCTTCCCTAAATGTTGGATAGAATTAATTTCCACTGAGTTCAACCATGCCTGCTGTTTCTTGTTGTTGTTGGGCATTTCTGTTTGCTTTTTCTTCCACTGCTGGAAATTTGTTTTTATTTTCTTAAGTAGCATCTTCAATTTCTTCTTTTGAACTTGCTACTCTCAAACTTTCTACCTTTATTTGTGCCAGTTTGGGTAAGTGGTGCTCTCTTAGAAATGTCTACATTTCTTCTAGATTTTCAGATGGGTTGGCACCATTTTTCATAATAGTCTTTTTCGTCCCTCCCTCCCACCTGCCCCCTTTTTCTTTAATCTCAGTTGTTTCTGTTATCACCCATCCCATTTCTAACTTTATTTGTTTTTCTCCCCTTGGCAGTTTGATCAGTGATTTCTCAACTTTATTGGTACTTTGAAAGAATCACCAGGTTCATATAAAAAGGGAAGACACCCAATGAGATGGATTGACATAGCAGCAGCAGCAATGGGCTCAAACATAGCAATGATCGTGAGGACAGTCCAGGACCACTCAGGGTCACTGTGAGTCGGAACCAACTCGATAGCCCCTAACAACTGACAATAGGTCCTCCAAAGCAGAAAGATGAGGCCGTTTGCTTCTGTAAAGATTTACAGCCCTGGAAACCTTATGGGTCATGTCTACTGTATCTTACATGGTCACTAAGAGTCTGAAACAACTTGAGACCAACGCGAGTGATTCTTTGATTTCGTACTTAAGTATAGAAAGTATCTCTTTTTAAAATAAGTACACTTGGAGAGATTTCTTTGAATTGTTTTTGCTTTTAATGTGTTTGGAACAAGGCATTTGACAGAAGTCTTGACTGCAACACTCACAAGAAGACAGAACAAAATATAGACGGTTCAGACTCACCGCGACACAATCTTCAACACAACGAAACACTGTCCGCTCCTGCACCCACCTGCTAAGCTTTGCTATGTTTCGGCCCATTCTCACAGCCACTGAATCATTCCGACTCATTGGGGGCCTTCGTGTTTTTTTTTGAGTGTCCCTCCACTTTATAAAGCATGATGCCCTTCTCCAATGACTAGTTCCTCCTGGTGATGTCCTCAAAGTACATGAGAAGTAGTCCTACCATCCTTCCTTCTAAGGAAACGTCCCATCTGTACTCCTGAGGCAGGTTTCTTTGTTCTTTTGACGTCTGTGATGTATAAACTGAAGTATTGCTTGGTTTTTAAGAAGATTGCAGGGGACGATTTTGGTTTAAAGCTGGAGGGCTTCATTGTATTCTTAGGGCTGTCTTGGGAAGACTTGGACCTCTAGATTGCTCCATTGCTCCTGGTTAAGAGCTGAACTCTTCGTTTCCACTCTCCTTATCACAGAGACAGAATGGAAATACTCCACAGCATGGTCGAAGCCACACAATGTCTTCGTTGTAGTCAGACACCTGCTGGGGGACTGGGGTGAGGGTCTCACGGTGTTGCTTCACAGCATCCTCCACTGTGGCTACCACCAAGTCATACAAGGGCTCCGTGTCCCTGGACAGTGAAGTGGACTCAGCTGGGTCTCGGGAGAGCTCAAAAAGCAAAGGCGGGTCATGGTGAGTGACATTTTCACCTGTACACTGGCAGAATATTGTTTCATAGCAGGCTTGCTCCCCTTTGTGATTAAATGTCGGTGTCACATAATGGACTTTCCAAACTACATCACCTGTGGAAGAAACAGAATCATTAGCCCTTTTTCTCTGAGAGACACAAGGGGTCCCAACATCTCCCCCTCACTGCCATTTTCATATGTTTTTGCCTTCCTGGCACAATACAGTGTTGAGTTGTTGGGGGTATGAAAAAATCCAAAGGCTCTATCCTAAACCAGTGGGTTCCAGTATAACAAGAACTGTGAGACTCCCACAGGACTGGGCAGCCTTTCATTCTGTTGGACATAGGGTGATGATGAGTCAGAACCAACTTGACCGCACTTAACAACAACAACAATAAAGGAAAGTAGAGGGTGAGTGAGAAAGAGGAAGACCAACAATGAGATGGGTTGAGAAGTGTGGATTCATATGTAGGCTCAAACACAGCAACAATTGTGAGGATTGTGCAGGACCAGACAGTGGACCCTTCTGTTATACATAATGCTGCTATTCCACGGCATCTCACAGCACCCAAAGTTATGCTACATGTAGGGCGATTGTTAGCAAGCCCACACGCATGGGTGGTTGCTCGCATACAGATATCAGAACAGATATGAAGGGATGTCCCTGGAGGTGGTCTTTGTATGGACCTACCTCCAGCCCACTTGAAGAGCAGAGATGTCAGCTTGAGGACTAGGGTGTGCCTGACCCAGGCCATTGTGTTTTCAATAGCCTCATATGGATGTGAAAGCTGGACAGTGAATAAGGAGGATCGTAGAAGAATTGATGCCTTTGAGTTGTGGTGTTGGAGGAGAATACTGAAAGTGCCATGGACTGCCAAAAGAACCAATAGATCTGTTTTGGAAGAAGTGCAGCCAGAGTGCTCCTTGGAGGCCAGGATGGCTAAGCTTCGTCTCTCCTACTTTGGATATATTGTCCGGAGGAAACAATTGTTGGAGAAGGATGTCATGCTGGGTAGGGTGGAGGGTCGGAGAAAAAGAGGAAGACCCCCAACGAGATGGATCAGCCAGGTGGCATCATTGATGGACTCGGGGGTGGCAGCGGTGGTGAGGTTGGCCCAGGATCGAACATTGTTTCGTTCTGCTGTGCATGGGGTCGCTATGAGTCGGTTCCGACTCGATGGCACCTGACAACAACAACAACAACAACCTCCAGTCCACTGGACTCTGTCCACTCCCCAAGTCGGACTCTAGGAAGTGATTGAACTCAGCCCAGTTCATCTCCTGGGGACCTGTCTCAGCACAGAGACATCTGACGTACTTGGATGTGCTGTGAGCACCAAGCTCTTCTGCAAAAACCAACAGCCCAAGACCCACAGATTGGAGCCACCACAGAATTGTCTCCTATGCTTCAGACAAGGTGTCAGGAGGAACCAATCCATGGAAAATGACGTTGTGTATGGTAGAGTAGAGTGTCTGCAAAAAGAGGAAGACCCACAACAAGGTGGACCCACACAGTGGCTACAATAATGGTCAGATTGAGACTTACAGAAGCCACAAAATTGTGACCCTTAGCTGCCCATCATGCCTGGAACTGAACTTACTCCCATGGTTTATAAAGAGAACAACACTAGGAAGGTCCACACTCCTTAGAATAACCAACCCCTTGAGATCAACAGAGCTGTATTTTCCCAAAGACAAAGTTCAGAAGGCAGGAGGGGTTAGGAAAAAAGGAGGAATGGAAATGGGAACCACAGTGAAAAGCTCTTTTAAGGTTCCATTGTGGGGGTTGCAATGAATGACATGAAACAAAATGTGTATGAATTGTTGAGTGGAAAACAGATTTGCTCTGTAAACATTCACCCAATTCCCAATAGAAAGTTAAAGGAAGAAGACAAAGAAAAAAAATAACATAGATTGAAGACATTTTAAAAACAATTTCGTGGTGGTCAACAATTCGGATGGTAGACCCACTACATGCTGTGTTCTTCTGAAATCAATAAAGGCTACTGCTGATTGCAAAAAAAAAAAAAAAAAAAATTTCATTCTGAAAAGTTATATGCTCCTAGCAGTGACTAGGAATTCCTTCTAGAATATTTTATGAAGAACACGGGATTGCAAACAGGGAAGGACAGCAGGTTGAACAGACTGATCCTAGAATTGGATCTAGGATCCCCGCTGAAGCGGGGACCAGGTATAAATGCACTCACTGTCTTTTGGTTTCCACCGCACGGCGTGGAGGTACGTGCCACAGTAATGAAACAGGAATTCGTGCTCCGAGTGCTGGGTCTCACCCTTCAGCAAGGGCATGAGATCTCGGCCATCAATCACCCTGCGGACAAAGACCAGGGAGTGGGTTTCACAAGGAAGGAAGAGACAGGACAGATTGATCATCTACTCCCCCACCGAGCTCCAGAACACTGTGAAGTGCACATAAAACCAATCCCATTGCCACTGACTTGATTCCCCCCCAAGGAAACCCTGTGTGTCTGAGTACAACAGCTCCATAGGGTTTTCTAGGCAGAGATCTTTATAGAAGTTCTCTGGGTTGCACATACGGCAAAACTCTCAAAATGTTAGCCAAAAAGATTGTCTGTTTGGACCCACCAGCTGGATGTTGGGAGAAAGGACGACTGAGGATGTGGTTCCGTAAAGATCGCAGCCTTGATAGTCTTATAGAGCAGTTCTGCTCTGCACGCATGGGGTCATCAGGGGTTGGTATCAACTCAACAGCAACCAACACCAGTGACCACAACAACAATCTTCATAGACACAGGTTTACCAGGGCATTGTTCCGAGGTGCCACTGGGTGGGTTTGAATACACAGCTTTAAGCTAATAGTCAAGGAATACTCAAACAGAGGAAGAAATTGATGAATGTGTTCTCAAGAAACTTGGCATGTAACAGGATGGGGCATAAGCACTCCAACTTGTATCTGAAATGCAAGTGACCCAGAATAAAGACGAATGAAGAAAC